TTCGCGCCGATTGCCGGACGGTCCAATTTGTACCTATTTTTATTTCCATGTGTGTTCCCGTGACCTGACACGGGTAGACGAGTAGTCATTGTTGTCACTGAGCTGATTGAGGGAATTTTAATCTAGTTTTTGTACTATAAGGGGGCGTGTCAGCTACTAGCCTTTTCTTTAATTCGATTTCGTCGAATCTCACTAAAAGGCTTAGGTTGAGTTCAAAATGACGTCTGTAGGCATGAGTTTTTCTTGGGAACTTGTTGCTGAATATTTACTTATGTTTTTTTTCCATGGTATCGATATAGTTGTTCGTACATGTGAATGCTGCTTGACACAATGTACAAAAAGTTTCTTTTTCACAGTAAATCCGTTTTTGCATGCGATTGCTCCAACCGTTATGAGGAACAACGTGCTCTTGTGCCATTTTCATCCATGACCCATTGTACCCAAAAGGCTAGTAAGCATATTTCCATTGAGCAGCTGTTTCCAAATACTATTAACGTACTGGATTTGTTATGAGCTTGCATACTTCAACTAATTTTTAAGTGTTATGACATTTATGTGAAAGGTGTACTTTTTGCACTGTCCAGACTTTACTTTGACTCATTAATAAAGCAACCCAAACCGACAACCGTGTTGCGCTTAAGCAGCGAAAAATTGTGCCTCTAAAAATTGTTTCTGATAAAATCGCGATGAACATGTGGAACCTCCGACCTCCGTGCTATATGATGTCCGCCACGTTGTTTTGATTATCGCCTCGAAAGAAGTGATGAATTAATTACTTTGTCAATGACCCTTTTAATTGATGTCCATGTATGGCTGCCGCACACATCGAAAGATTAAGCATATCTTTGCCGTCAATTTCTTTTCAGACGTTCATCATCATCATTGCTTTACGCACAGACGGGCGACTACGCTGTGGAGGCGCACGCTTTGTGCCTGCAAATCGATTTGGCCCACCCGGTAGCTGATTAAAAGGATCAATAAAACCTCACCAACCGGATGGGGTAAGCAGGACATCACTCAGTCTGCCTCGACGGTCGTTTATCGTTTATCCTTCTTGGTTACGGTGGCACACACGTCAGACACTGTTCCAGCGTCTCTGATCCTGTGCCAACGCCTGAGCTTTGGAAACAAAAAACTTGACTCTGAAGAAGAGTCATCATGACACGTTAGATGATGCTGTGATCAGATTTGATAATTAAATTTTGTTTTCATTTATTTTCCTCATTTACAGTTAACTTTGTGAAACCGGGAAAAGACACACGACTTTAAATGACATTTATTTCGATGACGATATAAGTACTTCATTCTTAGTGCTCACCGTTTTTGTCATCTTCAAAGCAAACGTCGTTAAAAATGTAAAAATGTTACTGACTTCGCTTTTTGAGACGTGTGTTTATTTGAGCACTGAACTGCCCTCATCTTGAAGATATACTGACGACAAACCATATTTTTGGATTGGAAGGTATTGAACGGAAAGAGGACAAATATTCACAGAGATACATTAATATTGCTGCATAAGAAACCAAGTGATATTTGCATAATATAGCATAATTAAGACTAGCTTTATGCAAATTCAACTATAAGTCATTTTTACATGTGCGAAACAGAGAGGCACTTCATGCTACGGAACCGCAGCTTCCTAGGGTCTTAAATTCTGGCTATGGCATGATAGAAAGACATGTAGCAAGTATGGCAACAGCTAAGTAGTACTCAATTATTATCAATTCAAAAGCTGAACCACACCGTTATGTTAAGTCACAGCAGAACTACCAGTGGTTACTCATGTCGTGGCTCTTTGAATTCTTTAACCATGCTTTTTAAATTTTGCAACTACAATGATTGATTGATTTTTGTTCATGGATAATGAAGATCACCACTGCTCGTTTTTGATGCCTATGCTCGTCTATCTCGTGCAATTTATCGCCACAAACATCCATATGTCTGTTAGCTCATTGTCCCATCTGAAAAGTAGTCTTCCAGTTGAGCACCTTCAGTCTCTTATGTACCGATCCGTCACTGCTGAAGTCCATCGATCACGTTTCAGTGGTGAAATGTGGCCTGTACATTGTCATTTTAGAATTTGAATACTCGCAATACATAAGTTGAAGCACATACGTGAAATATGTCACTTCATTATGTTCATGCTTTAGGATATAGGCAGACCAGCTCCTGAAACATCGCTTGTGATGTGGGCCAGGTAGCTCTAGCGGGCAAAATGTTGCTCTGGCACTGTAGGCGCTCAAACATAATTGAGCTTGGCCTGATATCAATGACCCCCTAGGCAACCAGAAGCAGGAAGCGGCGCAATGCGCCGTGAAACCAGGTCTTGGAGGAGATAGATGCGTTGCTCGATACAAAAACTGAGGCCAATGCATTTCGCCGCTATTTGCCTTGGTCCAACATTTCCATGTTACTCACTAATAGGCTTTTACAATGGCCATACGATTGCTGTTAGTGTACTTAGAAGGACATGGTGGAAA